CGGACCCACAAGGAAACCCATAATGGAAGACCATCTTACTCGTCCAACGAGGGATCGCCTAAGTAAAGTAAAGTAAAAGTAAGTTTAACTGGAAAAGTTGGGGGTCGTCTTATACACCCAATCGCCTAATATGCCGGAATATACAGTACTTTGAAGCCTGCCAATTGGCCAGGTCACTGGAGAACCCAAAAGATGGGTTGTGATAGAGGAACTAATAAACAGATGGGAATATGGATTGTGTCTTACGGGGAAAATTGGGGGGAAAGATCTTCCAGTAAGGAGTGGCGCAAGGGTTCAACCCTTGCGCTGGGAGGACTGAAGACCGACAGGTCACAGGTTCAAATCTGAGGAAAGTGCGGATGAGCTCCCTCTGCCAGCTCCAGCTCCCCATGCAAAGGGGACATGAGAGGAGCCTCCCTCTCACAAGGATGGGAAAACATCAAAACATCCGGGCAACGTCCTCCGGGCAACATCCTTGCAGACAGCCCATTCTCTCACACCAGAAGCAACTTGCAGTTTCTCAACTTGAGAAGGAGAAAGGAATTATGGGATTCACATACAAAAAGCAATACAACACAACCCTGCTTACTTTGTAAAATCATAACATAATCATATTGTTTAATGGGCCTTTCCTGAATCCCTCCTTATTATCTGACATTTCCGCTTATCCAATGTTCTGCCGGCCCGGTTATGTTGGATAAGCGAGACTCTGTGTATGTAAATCCTTTTTAAAAATATTTTTCTTATTTTATCATGGTTTAATACATGGTTTTACAGCAGATACATATTATTCAATGCAACATAACATACTCTTGGCATCTAGTGTTGTTTTTCTGCTTATACACCTATTCTCTTCTCCTCTTTGCTCCCTCGGGGACAACAGGAGCCGGACAACTACCGCCTGGCCTTGCAGAAGATGGCCGACGACATCATCTCCCTCCGCCGCCACATCGCCGACCTGGAGAACGAGAACAGCGCTCTGCGGCGCAACCTCACCGTGCACGAGGACGTGGGGCGGGCCCTCTTCCAGGACATCGACCTGGACGCCATGACCAAGGCCGAAATCGTGGACCGGATCTGTAAGCCAAGGCCGCCCCTCCTTTCGACCACACCATGACAAGGAGGAAACATGAGGATGGGGATGAGCCACGGTCTCTTCATGGAAGGACCGGCCGCCCTGCTTCAGATGGGGTGGGGGCCTTGGGAGGAACTCCACAGCATCTCCTCACTGCCTGATCTGGAGCCCTAGATAGTCACAGACATCCCTCCAAATTTGCGGGTCTGACTTCCATGAATTTAATTATTCATGGAATTAATTGAAATATTTTCTCTAGGACAGTGGTTCTCCACCTTCCTAATGCCGCGACCCCTTCATGCAGACCCTCATGCTGTGGTGACCCCCAACCAGAACACTATTTCCGTTGCTACTTCAGAACTGTACTTTTGCTACTGTTATGAGTTGTTGTGTAAATGTCTTGATATGCAGGATGTATCTTCATTCACTGGACCAAATTTGGCACAAATACCCAATACACCCAAATTTGGATACTGGTGGGATTGGGGGGGGGGGGATTGATTTTGTCATTTGGGAGTTGTAGTTGCTGGGATTTATAGTTCACCTAAAATCAAAGAGCATTCTGAACTCCACCAACGATTGAATTGAATCAAACTTGGCATACAGAACTCCCACGACCAACATTGGTCGTGGGCATTGACCTTGAGTTTTGGAGTTGTAGTTCACCTACATCCAGAGAGCACTATGGACTCAAACAAGGATAGATCTGGACCAAACTTGGAACAAATACTCAATATGCCCAAATGTGAACACTGGTGGAGTTTGGGGAAAACTGACCTTGACATTTTGGAATTGTAGTTGCTGGGATGTATAGTTCACCTACAATCAAAGAGCATTCTGAACCCCACCAATGATAGAATTGGGCCAAATTTTCCACACAGAACCTCCATGAGCAACAGAAAATATTGTGTTTCCTGATGTTCTTTGGTGACCCCTCTGACACCTCCTCAAACCCCCCCCCCCAGGAGTCCCGATCTCCAGGTTGAAAAATGCTGTCCTAGATAGTTACAATCTTCCATCCAAATTTGCAATTTGGCTTCTATGAATTTAAGTATTCATGGATTTAAATGAAATGTTTTCTCTAGGAGCTTCTAAATCCTCCACACTGAAGGACCATGAGGTTTGAAGTTGGGTCTTCTCTATAGTCCACAATATTAGATTGCCACCTTCACCCTCCATTCCTTTGTCTGCGGTTGAGGCAAGACTGAGCTTCAACAGAAAGGTTTGCCCCTCGTATAGAACTCCATGCCAAACTGAGGTGAGGAACATCTGCCTCTCTGGATACTGTTGGACTCCAGCGCCCATCAGCCCCAACCAGCAGGGACAGGGTTTATGGGTTGCCTAGTCCAACAACATCTAGAAAACCTCAATTCAATGAGATTTCAGGTCGTAAGGACTTCTCATGAACCTCCTTCCCTTACTACAATTTGGTGGAACGACTGCTCCCATCAGACTAGGTAAGAGTGGATTAGATGGCAGAATGGGCACCATGGTTTCCTCATGGACGCATCCCCTACTTCAGCATTTCTCAACCTGGGGTCGCAAGAGGGTGTCAGAGGGGTCACTAGAGACCATCAGAAACACATATTTCTGATGGTCCCAGGTTTTGAACAGGGGCAAAAAAATCCCGGGACTGCAAAAGAGGTCCATATAGAAGAGGTCCACAGTGCTCTCCGGAGGTAGGTGAACTACATCTCTCCTAAATCACTGTCAATTCCTTCCAAATCCCTGCAGTATTTTCTGTTGATCATGGGGGTTCTATGTGGGAAGTCTGGCCCAATTCTATCGTTGGTGGGATTTGATTGTAGGTGAACTATAAATCCCAGCAACTACAACTCCCAAATGTCAAGGCCTCTTTTTCCCAAACTCCACATGTGAGCATATTGAGTATCTGTATCAAGTTTAGTCCAGATCCATCATTGTTTGAGTCCACAGTGCTCTCTGGATGTAGGTGAACTACAACTCCCAAACTCAAGGTCAATGCCCACCAAAACCTTCCAGTATTTTCTGTTGGTCATGGGAGTTCTGTGTGCCAAGGTTGGTTCAGTTACCTCATTGATGGAGGTCAGAATGCTCTTTGATTGTAGGTTAACTATAAATCCCAGCAACTACAACTCCCAAATAACAAAATAAATTATTCCCCCCAACCCCACCAGTATACAAATTTGGGCATATCGCATATTTGTATCAAATACATCCTGCATACCAGATATTTACAAGATGATTCATAACAGTAGCAAAATTACAGTTGTGAAGTAGCAACAAAAATAATTTTATGGTTGGGGGTCAACACAACATGAAGAACTGTATGAAGGGGTCGTGGCATCAGGAAGGTTGAGAACCACGGCCCTACTTGGTGAGAAGTGATGTCCATGAGCCAAGGAGCACTCTGAGGACAAAGTATTCACGTTCAGGTAAAGAGCAGGTGGGATTCCATCTGAATTATCCCTTCTTCTCCTCCTTTTAGTGTCCCTCAAACAAAAGCTATCTTCTGGAGCTCGGGAGATGGCCAGGATGAAGGACCGGGTGCAAAAGTTACAGAACGAGCTCATTCGGGTGAGTCCTTCCTTACGATTGCTCTTCCGTGGCGTGGATGAAGTTCCTCTGCTCCACCTCTCGCTGAGATGTGTTCCTCCCCCCTCAGAAAAACGACCGAGAAAAGGACCTCATGATGCTCCAGCGGGCCCACCAGCAGCAGCAGATGGTGCTGAGGAAATGCCAGGCCAAGATGGCCAAGATGCAAGCGCTGGAGGGTGCCGTGCGGCAGCAGGAGAAGGTGAGCCAAGGCGAGAGCAGGACAGCCGTGGGGTTGCTGCCTCACCTGGCCTCGGGGTAGGGACACTCTCGCTCTGGGGCACGTCTGGGGGACTTGGGGGTTCCTCTTCCTTCTTGCCTGATCTCACTCGCTTCTTTGACCAAAGGTGATTGAGAGGATGGAGCGGATGTTGGAAGGGAGGATGAAGGACCGGCTCAAAGGCACCGTCCACATGTCAGACTTGACCCAAGGAGCAGGTAACGGGTTTGCGACCCACGCCCTTACTATAGTGGAAACATACTTCCTACAGTTCTGAGTCGAGGTTGAAAACATCCTTTTTGTAGACTAACTCTTTCTCCCAGATTGCTACGGCCAGCGGTCAATCCAAACTTTAAGTCCAAAAAGGTTGGATTCATGGAGAGGCAGGGGCGGCTCATCCATTATGTGAAGTAAGCCGTCGCAGAACACTTTTTTTTTTGCCAGGGGTGCAGAGGCGCCTCTGTAAATGCCCCTCGAGCACCGCTTGAGGAGCGACCCCTCAGCTCACCACAGCCCTAGCAGTCCGGGGGGAGCCTCGGCTTTCTTGCCTCGCTGCCGGGCGATCCTCTTCCCAAAGGGGCCGGGCCCTCGAGCCTCCCAACCTCTGAGGATGCCTGCCTTAGATGCAGGCAAAATGTCAGGAGAGAATGCTTCTGGAACATGGCCATTAGGCCTGTTCAATGCATGGTTCTAAAGTACTTACAAAACTAAAGTTCTGGTGGTGAAAATTTCAGAACTCTAACAAAACTCCATTAACAAAATTCTAACAAAATTCCATTATAAATGGCAGTTCCTAATTGGTTCTGTCATAAAAATCGCCAATAATGAAATAACAATTAAATTTTGAAAGAGTTCTGAAATTTTCACCACCAGAACTTTAGTTTTGTAAGTACTTTAGAACCATTTAGAACCGTGCATTGAACAGGCCTCATGGCCATACAGCCAGCCATGAAAGCCTTCAATACATTAATTCCATTGGTTACAACATCCAAATGGGCCAAATGTGGACATTAATTCCATTGGTTACAGCACCGAATGGGCCAAATGTTGACAATTCATTATTTGTATTATTGATTTATTCCCTGCTTTCCTTCCAATTCAGGACCCTAAATGGTTTACAATAGGAGTTAGAGCAGGGGTCCTCAAACTAAGGCCCGGGGGCCAAATACGGCCCTCCAAGGTCATTTTCCCGGCCCTCACTCAGGGTCAACTTAAGTCTGAAACTACTTGAAAGCACACAACAACAACAACAATCCTAGCTCATCAGCCACAAGCAGGACCACACTTCCCATTGAAATACTAATAGGTTTATATTTGTCAAAATTGTTCTTCATTTTAATTATTGTATTGTTTTTAAGTGGGGTTTTTTTTTGCACTGCAAATAAGACATGTGCAGTGTGCATAGGAATTCATTCATGTTTTTTTCAAATTATAATCTGGCCCATGCTGCAGATACAATAATATCTGCACCATGCTGCAGATACAACAACAACAACAACAACGACAACAACAATAAAATAAAAAATAATAATCTGGCCCTCCAACAGTTTGAGGGACTATTTAAAAGGTTTGAGGATCCCTGAGTTATAGCAAACTACAGTAAATGTTGGGAGGTTTGGGAACTGCGTGCAACTGAACCACCCCCTTCCTTCCTTCCTTCCTTCCTTCCTTCCTTCCTTACTTCCTTCCTTCCTTCCTTCTTCCTTCCTTCCCTCCTCTCCCTCCTTCCTCCTTCCTTCCCCTTCTTCTTCCTTCTTCTTCCTTCTTCTCCCTCCCTTCCCTCCTCTTCCTTCCTTCTTCTTCCTTCCTCCTCTCTTCCTCTCCTCCTCCCTCCTCCCTCTCCTTCCTTCCTTCCCTTTCCTTCCCTCCTCCTTCCCTCCTTCCTTCCTTCCTCCCTCCTTCTTCCTTCCTTCCCTCCCTCCTCTCCCTCCTCCTTCCTTCCCCTCTTCCTTCCTTCCTTCCTTCCCTCCATCCTTCCCTCCTCCTTCCTTCCTTCCCTCCTCCTTCCTTCCTTCCTTCCTCCTTCCTCTCCTTCTTCCCTCCTCTCTCCCCTTCCTTCCTCCTCTCTTCTTCCTTCCTTCCTCCTTCCTCCTTCCTTCCCTCTCCTTCCTTCTCCCTCCCTCCTCTCCCTCCCTCCCTCCTCCTCCCTCTCCCTCCCTCTTCCTTCCTTCCTTCCCTCCTTCCTTGCTTCCTTCCTTCCTTCCCTCTGTCCTTCTGTCCTTCCTTCCCTCCCTCCCTCCCTCCCTCTCTCCCCCTCCCTCCCTCCCTCCTCCTTCTTCCTTCTTCCTTCCCTCCTCTCCCTCCTCCTCTCCTTCCTTCCTTCCTTCCTTCCTTTCCTTCTTTCCTTCCCTCCCTCCCTCCTTCCTCCCTTCCTTCCTTCCTCCTCCCTCCCTCCTCCTCTTCCTTCTTCCTTCCTTTCTTCCTTCCTTCCTTCCTTCCCTCCTTCCTTGCTTCCTTCCTTCCTTCCCTCTGTCCTTCTGTCCTTCCTTCCCTCCTCCCTCCCTCTCTCTCCCTCCTCCTCCCTCCTCTTCCTCCTTCCTTCCTTCCCTCCCCTTCTTCCCCTCCCCTCCTTCCTCTCCTCCTTTCTCCCTCCCTCCCTTTCCTTCCTTCCCTCCTCCTCTCCTTCCTTCCTTCCTTCCTTCCTTTCCTCCTTCCTTCCTCTTCCTTCCTTCCCTCCCTCCTCCATCCTTCCCTCCTCTTCCTTCCTCCTCCTTCCTCTCCTCCTTCCTTCCTTCCCTCCCTCCATCCTTCCCTCCATCCTTCCTTCTCCCTCCCTCCCTCCTTCCTTCCTTCCCTCCGTCCTTCCTTCCTTCCCTCCATCCTTCCCTCCGTCCTTCCTTCCTTCCTTCCTTCCTTCCTTCCTTCCTTCCTTCCGTCCTCCCTCCCTCCTCCTTCCTTCTTCCTTCCTTCCTTTCCTTCCTTCCCTCCTTCCTCCTCCTTCCTTCCCTCCTCTCTTCCTCCTTCCTTCCTTTCCTCCCTCCTCCCTCCTTCCTTCCTTCCCTCTTCCTCCTTCCTCCTCCTTCCTTCCTCCCTTCCCTCCCTCCTTCCTTCTTCTTCTCCCTTCCTTCCTCCTTCCTCCTCCTCCTTCCCTCCTTCCTTCCTCCCTCCTCCTTCTTCCCTCTCCCTTCCTTCCTTCCTTCCCTCCTCTCTTCCTTCCTTCCTCCTCCTTCCTTCCTTCCCTCCGTCCTTCCTTCCTTTCCTTCCTCCTCCCTCCATCCTTCCCTCCGTCCTTCCTTCCCTCCCTCCCTCCTCCTTCCTTCCTTCCCTCCTCCATCCTTCCCCCCGTCCTTCCTTCCTCCTCCTTCCTTCCTTCCTTCCTTCCTCCCTTCCTTCCTTCCTTCCCTCCATCCTTCCTTCCTTCCTTCCTTCCTTCCCTCTCCTTCCTTCCCTCCTTCTCCTCCTTCCTTCCTTCCCTCCTCTCCTCCTTCCTTCCCTCCTCCTTTCCTTCCCTCCCTCCCTCCCTCTTCCTCCCTCCCTCCCTCCTTCCTTCCTTCTTCCTTCCCTCCCTCCCTCCTTCCTTGCTCCTTCCTTCTCCTTGTCCTCTCTCCTTCCTTCCTTCCTTCCTCCTTCCCTCCTTCCTTCCTTCCTTCCTTCCTTCCTTCCCTCCCTCCTTCCTTCCTTCCTTCCTTCCTTCCTTCCTTCCTTCCTTCCCTCCCTCCTTCCTTCCTTCCTTCCTTCCTTCCTTCCTTCCTTCCTTCCTTCCCTCCTTCCTTCCTTCCTTCCTTCCTCCTTCCTTCCCTCCCTCCTCCCTCCCTCCCTCCCTCTTCCTTCCTTCCTTCCCTCCCTCTTCCTTCCTTCTCCTTCCTCCCTCTTCCTTTCCTTCCTTCCTCCCTCCCTCCCTCCTCCCTCCCTCCCTCTCTCCCCCTCCCTCCTTTCCTTCCTTCCTTCCCTCTCCTCCCTCCTCCTTCCTTCCTTCCTCCTTCCTTCCTTCCTTCCCTCCTTCCTTCCTTCTTCCTCCTTCCTTCCCTCTTCTCCTTCCTTCCCTCCCTCCCTCCCTCCCTCTTCCTTCCTTCCCTCTTCCTTCCTTCCTTTCCTTCCTTTCTTCCTTCTTCCCTCCCTCCCTCCTTCCTCCTCCTCCTCCTTCCTCCTTCCTTCCCTCCTTCCCTCCTCCTCTTCCTTCTTCCCCTCCCTCCCTCCCTCCTCCTTCCTTCCTTCCTTCCTTCCTTCCTCCTCCTCCTCCCTCCTTCCTTCTTTCTTCTTTCCCTCCTCCCTCCCTCCGTCTTCCTTCCTTCCTTCCTTCCTCCCTCCCTCCTTCCTTCCTTCCTTCCTTCCTCCTCCTTCTTCCTTCCTTCCTTCCCTCTGTCCTTCTTCCTTCCTTCCCTCCCTCCTCTCCCTCCTCTCCTTCTCTTCCCTCCCTCCCTCCGTCCTTCCTTCCTTCCTTCCTTCCTCCCTCCCTCCTTCCTTCCTTCCTTCCTCCCTCCTTCCTTGCTTCCTTCCTTCCTTCCCTCTGTCCTTCTGTCCTTCCTTCCCTCCCTCCCTCCCTCCCTCCTTCCTTCCTTCCTTCCCTCCTTCCTTGCTTCCTTCCTTCCTTCCCTCTGTCCTTCTGTCCTTCCTTCCCTCCCTCCCTCCTTCCCTCCCTCCTTCCTTCCTTCCCTCCCTCCCTCCCTCCTCCTTCTTCCTTCCTTCCTTCCTCCCTCCCTCCTTCCTTCCTCCTCCCTCCTTCTTCTCCTCCTTCCTTCCCTCTGTCCTTCTTCCTTCTTCCTCCCTCCCTCCCTCCCTCCTCCCTCCTCCTCCTCCTTCCTTCCTTCCTTCTTCTTCCCTCCCTCCTTCCTTCCTCCCTCCATCTTCCCTCCATCCTTCCTTCCTCCCTCCCTCCCTCCTTCCTTCCTTCCCTCCGTCCTTCCTTCCTTCCCTCCATCCTTCCCTCCGTCCTTCCTTCCTTCCTTCCTTCCTTCCTTCCTTCCTCCCTCCCTCCCTCCATCCTTCCCTCCGTCCCTCCTTTCCTCCTCCTTCCTTCCTTCCTTCCTTCCTTCCTTCCTCCCTCCATCCTTCCCTCCATCCTTCCTTTCCTCCCTCCCTCTCCTTCCTTCCTTCCTTCCCTCCGTCCTTCCTTCCTTCCCTCCATCCTTCCCTCCGTCCTTCCTTCCTTCCTCTTCCTTCCTTCCTTCCTTCCTTCCGTCCTCCTCCTCCTTCCTCCTCCTTCCCTTCCTTCCTTTCCTCTCTCCTTCCTTCTTCCCTCCTTCCTTCCTTCCCCCATCCTCCTTCCCTTCCTTCCCTCCTTCCTTCCTCCTCCCTCCTCCCTTCCTCCCTCTTCCTTCCTTCCTTCCTTCCTTCCTTCCCTCCCTCCCTCCTCTTCCTTCCTTCCCTCCTCCTCCTTCCTTCCTTCCTTCCCCTCCTCCCTCCTTCCTTCCCTCCCTCCTTCCCTCCTTCACTCCTTCCTTCCTTCCTTCCCTCCTTCCTTCCTTCCTTCCTTCCTCTTCCTCCTTCCCCTTCCTTCCTCTTTCCTTCTCCTCCCTCCTCCCTCTCCTTCCTTCCCTCCTCTCCCTCTTCCTCCTTCCTCCCTCCCTCCATCCTTCCCTTCCTTTCCTCCCTCCTTCTTCTTCTTCCTCCTCCCTCCTTCCTTCCTTCTTCCTCCTCCTTCCTTCCTCTTCTCTTCCTCTCCTTCCTTCCTCCTCTCTCCCTCCTTCTTCCTTCCTCCTCTTCCTTCCCTCCGTCCTTCCTTCCTCCCTCCCTCCCTCCTTCCCTCCCTCCCTCCCTCCTTCCTTCCTTCCTTCCTTCCCTCCCTCTTCTCTTCCTTCCTTCCTTCCCTCTTCCTCTTCCTTCCTTCCCTCCCTCCTCCTTCCTTCTCCCCCTTCCTTCCTTCCTTCCTTCTCCTCTCCCTCCTTCCTTCCTTCCTTCCTTCCTTCCTTCCTTCTTCCTTCCTCCCTCCCTCCTTCCCTTCCTTCCTTCTCTTCCTTCCTTCCTTCCTTCTTCTTCCTTCTTCCTTCTTCCTTCTTCTTCCCTCCCTCCCTCCCTCCTCTCTCCCTCCTTCCTTCCTTCCTTCCCTCCCTCCTTCCTTGCTTCCTTCCTTCCTTCCCTCTGTCCTTCTGTCCTTCCTTCCCTCCCTCCCTCCCTCTTCCTCCTCCTTCCTTCCTCCCTCCCTTCCCCTTCTCCTCCTTCCTTCCTTCCCTCCCTCCTCCCTCCCTTCCCTTCCCTCTTCCTTCCTTCCTCCTCCCTTTCCTCCTTCCCTCCTTCTCTTCCTCTTCCTTCTTCCTTCCTTCCCTCCTCCCTCCCTCCTCTTCCTTCTCTTCCCTCCTCCTTCCTCCTTCCTTCCCTCCTTTCCTCTTCCTTCCTTTCTTCCTTCCTTCCTCCCTCCCTCCTCCCTCCTCCCTTCCTTCTTCCTTCCTTCCTTCCTTCCCTCCCTCCTCCTCCCTCCTCTTCCTTCCTTCCTCTTCTTCCTCCTTCTTCTCCCTCCTCCCTCCCTCCTTCTTCCCTCCCTCTTCTTCTTCCTCTTTCCCTCCCTCCCTCCCTCCCTCCCTCCTCCCTCCCTCCTTCCTTCCTTCCTTCCTTCCTTCCTTCCCCTCCTTGGCCTACCGCCTCCTGTCTTGTGCGCACTAGGTGTGGGCGATAACTGGTCCAAGGACCTCTACTCCACCTTGCTGATGGAGAACACAAGGCTCCGGGATGAACTTGGCAAGTCCTCCTTCAACTCGCCCATCATCCTGCAGCAGCAAGCCTTGCCGGTAAGATCTTCTGCCTCACCGAACCCTTCCGTGTGCGTGTCCTTGAGCAGAGCGTTGGCTAGATGGCCAGCTGAAATGTACCGAATGACTTAGAATCATAGAATCCTAGAATCCTAGAGTGGGAAGAGACCTCCTGGGCCATCATCCAGTCCAACCCCATTCTGCCAAGAAGCAGGAATATTGCATGCAAAGCACCCCTGACAGACGGCCATCCAGCCTGTGTTTCAAAGCTTCCAAAGAAGGAGCCTCCACACACTTCCACTGTCAGCCCCAACTTCTGCTAACCTAGCAGTTCAAAAACATGCAAATGTGAGTAGATCAATAGGAACCGCTCCAGAGGGAAGGTAAGGGCGTTCCATGCAGTCATGCCAGTGGCCACATGACCTTGGAGGGGTCTACAGACAACGCCAGCTCTTCGGCTTAGAAATGGAGATGAGCATCAGTCCCAGAATCGGACACGACTGGACTTAATGTCAGGGGACAACCTTTACCTTAAAATAATAATAATAATAATAATAATCACCATCATCATCATCATCATCATCATCATCATCATCATCATCATCCTTCTCTCCTGGCTTTCCCATGCAACTCAAGGCACAGGCATATCAGGGCCAGGCCCGGAAAGTCTATTTTGTGGCACCTCCAACTTCTGAAGAGTGTTACGAATTATCTCCATTCCTTTTAGTCTTTTACTAGTGAGATATTCCATCAAGTTCTTGATGCTTTGCAATCTCCGTGCCTTTCCTTTCTGTAGGATGTGTTTTCTGCCAGCTCGGAAAAGCTCTCCCTGATTTCAAAACTGGAAAAGGCCGAGGCACGCATCCAAGCTTTGGAGTTCCAGGTAATGCCCTGCTTACTTTCCTTGTTAGAGACCCTAAATTGGGTCTTCTTAGGTCCTCATCACGTAAGGAAGGAGACAGCCCCCCCCCCACCCAAAAGATCAAAAAACAAGGTTTATTTTAGTTTCTTCATGAAGAAGACGGACAGCCTGGCAGCATACGCAGATGCTCCCCTTCCAGTGACTGCCGCCCCCTCCTCTGTTTCTGCTGACTTTTATACTCAAGTAATAGGTCATGGAAAGTACTCTCTTTCCAGCCCCTCTCCCTTGACCTTCTTGTACCTGCCGACTCTGCGCTTAACCACAACCTTTGAACTTAACCACAACACAACTTCCTATATGAGTTTGAACTTTGTATGACTTCTACATGTCACATCTTGTTTCTTAAAAACATTTTCTTCCGTGTTGCTCCTTTTCTACAGAGAAAGGGTATATTTCTCTCTTGCTGTTAATTTCATTCGAAGCCCCTTGCTTAGCATTTGCAAATTTCACTCAAAGACCCTTTCATCCTCATCGTTCCTTTCCTGCACCTCTACTAACAGTGGTTCATCCCCACACAAGGCATACCTCAGGGTCACCTGGAAGACCTAGGAAAGTCCTAGAGATGATATATTTTGCCAGGCGTGGCTAGGAGTGGCTGCCAGTCGGAGATCTTACTGTTGTAGCCTTGGTAAGATGTTCCCCAACTTGGATCCTCTGCCTGCCTTGGACTCCAACTCCCAAAAGCCCCATCCAGCTTGGCCAGCAGCCAGAAATGTTGGGAGCTGAAGCCTGAAACATGTAGCAGTGTTGGGGAAATGCTGTCCTGGGATAAGCCAGCTGAATGTGTCTTCTCTGTGTCACAGTTGGAGGGATCTGCCCGAAAGTGGGGACGGGAGAAGCAAGACTACAGCAATCGGCTTCTAGAACAAGATCTGGGATTTGTCCACTCTCCAGCCTCTCTGATACTCCAGGATTACTTGCTGGTGAGTAAGAGGCCTGCTATGAACAATACTATAAGCAAGAGCCTTGACCTGAGTAAGGTATGGAGACACCACGGTATCCTCCTGGGACGCCTCACAGGAATGGGCCTTGGAGGGACTGTTTTGCGGTGGCCCCGGCCTTTCCTCGAGGGTTGCTCCCAGGTGGTGTTGCAAGGAGACTCCTGCTCAACCCCATGGCCATTGTACTATGGGGTCCCGCAGGGCTCAGTACTGTCCCCCATGTTGTTTAACATCTACATCAGTGGTTCTCAACCTTGCTAATGCCGTGACCCCTTAATGCAGTTCCCTATGTTGTGGTGACCCCCAACCATAATACGGTTTTCACTGCTACTTCATACCTGTCATTTTAGTACGGTTATAAATCGTCATGTAAATACCCAATATGCAGGATATATTTTCATTCACTGGACTAAATTGAGCACAAATACCCAATATGCCCAAATGTGAATTCTAGTGGGGTTGAGGAGCATTGATTTTGTCATTTGGGAGTTGTAGGTGCTGGGATTTATAGTTCACTTATAATCAAAGAGCATTCTGAACCCCACCAGCGATGGATTTAAACTGAACTTGGCACACTGAACTCCCATGACCAACAGAAAACACTGGAAGGATTTTGTGAGCATTGACCTTGAGTTTGGGAGTTGTAGTTCACCTATACCCAGAAGAGTGCTGTGGATTTATGCAATGATGGATCTGGACCAAACTTGGCATGAATACTCAAGATGCCCAAATGTGAACACTAGTGGAGTCCGGGGGAAATAGACCTTGACATTTGGGAGTAGTAGTTGCTGGGATTTATAGTTCACCTACAATCAAAGAGCATTCTGAACTCGACCAACAATAGAATTGGGTCAAACTTCCCACACAGAATCCCAATGATCAACAGAAAATACTATGTTTTCTTATGGTCTTTGGCGACCCCTTTGACACCCCCTCATGACCCCCTCAGGGGTCCCGACCCCCAGGTTGAGAAACACTGCTCTACATGAAGCCACTGGGGGAGATCATCCAGAGTTTCAGGGTGCTGTGTCATCTGTATGCAGATGATGTCCAGCTCTGTCACTCCTTCCCACCTGCTACTAAGGAGGCAGTTCATGTCCTGGACCGGTGCTTGGCCGTTGTATCGGACAGGATGAGGGCTAACAAATTGAAACTGAATCCAGACAAGACAGAGGTCCTCCTGGTTAGTCGCAAGGCCAGACATGGCATAGGGTTACAGCCTGTGCTGGACGGGGTGACACTCCCCTTGAAGACGCAGGTTCGCAGCTTGGGAGTGATCCTGGACTCATCGCTGAGCCTGGCAGACCAGGTCTCGGCGCTGGCCGGGAGAGCTTTTGCCCAGCTAAACCTTGTGTGCCAGCTGTGCCCGTACCTTGGGAAGCCTGACTTGGCCACAGTGGTCCACACACTCTTGTTACATCTTGAATAGACTACGGCAATGCACTCTACATGGGGTTGCCACTGAAGACTGCCCGGAAGCTTCAACTACTCCCATGCTCGGCAGCCAGGCTGCTCATGGAGGCTGGGTCCAGGGAGCGCACAACGCCCTTGTTACGCCAGCTCCACTGGCTCTCAGCTTCCGAGCACAATTCAAAGTGCTGGCTTTGGCCTATAAAGCCCTAAATGGTTCTGGCCCAGTTTACTTGTCCAAATGTATCTCCCACCACGCTCCACCTAAGGCCCTAAGGTCATCTGGTCATTGTCCCCCCATTATTGCAATCCCATCTGGCGGGGACAAGGGACTGGGCCTTTTCTGTGGTGGCCCCCCAGCTATGGAACTCCCTCCCGAGTGAAATTAGATCTGCTGCATCCCGCTTGTCCTTCCAGAAACAAGTCAAATCCTGGCTATGGGATCAGGCCTTTCGAGAGTCAGCTGAGCTGCTGACCTGTTGACTTATTTAGAACTGATGGACTGCCCTTGGATAATGATTTATATTGGTGACCACTGACTATTTGTTGTCTGTTTTTATATTGTTTTTATATTGTTTATACAGTTTTATACTGTTTTATATTGTTGCTCTGTAGAAAAAGAGCAACACGGAAGAAAATGTTTTTAAGAAACAAGATGTGGCATGTAGAGGTCGGAAGTTGTGTTGTGGTTAAGTTCAAAGGTTGTGGTTAAGCGCAGAGTCTGCAGGTACAAGAAGGTACTTTCCATTAAAAGGTCAAGGGAGGAGGCTGGAAAGAGTACTTTCCATGACAAAAAAATGTTCTTGTTTACTTGAGGTTCTATATCGGTGGTCAAAGGCCAAGGGGACGCGGCAGTCACTTGAAGGGTAGCATCTGCGTATGCTGCCAAGCTGTCCGTCTTCTTCATGAAGAAACTAAATTAAACCTTGTTTTTTTATCTTATTTTGGAACTGTCTCATTCCTTTTGTGTTCCTGTGATGTGGACCTAAGAAGACCCAATTTATGGTGTCTAACTACATTTCTGTTTTGATGTGGGTGCCATGGGGTGCCACTTTGTGAGCCGTCCTGAGTCCCTCTGTGGAAATTGAGATAGGACGGGATACAAAAGCCTTAAATAAATAAATATTCTGGGCACCTTGGAGGCATCTTCTAGATTATAGTCCAAACCTAAATCTGGACTCCTTCTAGCATACTTCAGCTGGTGTGCTTCCGCTCATGGTTGCATCTGTTCCTACGCCAACAGGACGAGAAGGAAGGGAGACGGGGTGAAGATGAGAAGATTCGCAAGGCCCAGACAGGGATGGACAAGTAGTACGGTGCTTGGCTGGATCCAAGGACAGGTTGGTCTATAGCTTCCTTGGTTGGACTTCTTGGCCAATGGGATTTGAGTCTCCATAATTTCCATCCGCCTTGCCCAGAGATTATATTTCAACCTCATGGGGCAACATGGTCACCAACTGCAAGATGGCGGCTTTGCCCCATGCAAGACCAGAGAGGGGAGTTAAGCCATTGTGTTGGTTCTAATGCAATCCCATCCCCAGATTGCATTAGATTGGAGAAAAGATAGCCATTTGGTTGTAAAAGGCTTTCATGACCGGAATCATTGGGTTGCTGTTAGTTTTCTGGACTGTATGGCCATGTTCCAGTTGTGTTGGAAGTTTGGTCCTCCAAGGTCTCTGAAGGGACTAATGCAATCCCTAATTTCTGCCAATGGTTCACCTTTGTTCCAAGTCAGAATGGGAGGAAAACCAAGGATGGGAGATCAGGGGGACACCCTATTAATATCTGTTTTCCCCTCTTTTCCAGAAGACTCGTTCAAATCCCCTAAGACATCTCAAGAAGCACCAGAGCCTCCACCCACTCCCATAGCTCTGCAGGACCAGCGGCATATTTGACACACTATGTTGGGACATATTGCAAAATATATGGACACACACACACACCCCTTCCAAGGTTATTATATGCCTCTTCCCCAAGAGGAAACAGAATGCCTGCCTCCGTATTAAAGACTTAACCCTTGTTTCTCTCCATTTGAAAAGTTAATGGATTCCAGATTTACTTGGAAAGAAGGAGACCAGAGTTGGGGAGGCGTTGGGAAGGGAGAGTATCTTGGGGAACCATTTGGGAGTAGAAGTAGTAGGCGTTGACACTTCCCTCCAAACAGGTTTAGTGCCTTCATAGTTTGGACTGAAGTCCGAAGTAGATTTGCTAGTATCTCCAGTGTTTTGGAAACCACCACTGAATAGAATAGACCGGTATGTCTAAACTCTCCCCTTCTAGGAGTCTGGGACATCAGCTCTCAGACTTCCAAGGGAGCTGAGGCTTCTGGGGAAAGAAGTCCAAAACACCTGGAGAAGATCACCAACATCCACATTTGCTGCATTCTGTTGTAAATGAAACCTATGGCACTTCAGATGTTGTCTATACTAGTTCAACCAAACGTCAACACTACTAGGCAGTCGATGTAGAGCAGTTCATTAACATCTGGAAAACTGTGGCAAATGTTTTCTGGATTAATTACAAACGGAATAGACCCATTTAATCAAATGTTGAATGCTAGGTCAACGCATTGGTAAATCTCCTTGATTTCAGGCAGTGGTCCTCAAGCTTTGGACTCCAACTCCCATAGAAGTTGGAGTCCAAATGCTCATGAATTCTGATCAACCATCAGAATTCCAAAATGTTGGAAGATTGAGAACCAGTGATTGAATGGGTCTAGTTGGAAGTAGAAATAGATGCAAAAGTCCCCCACACTTCCCTGAAATCACATTGTACATGGACCTCCATCACACCAAAGGTTCCTCATGCTTCCATGAAATCACATTGTACATGGACCTCCATCACACCAAAGGTTCCTCATGCTTCCATGAAATCACGTTTTACATGGACCTCCATCACACCAAAGGTTCCTCATGCTTTCATGAAATCATGTGTACATTGACCTCCATCACACCAAAGGTTCCTCATGCTTTCATTAAATCAAGTTTCGCATGGATCTCCATCACTGCAAAGGTTCTTCATGCTTCCATGAAATCACATTGTACATGGACCTCCACCACACCAAAGGTTCCTCATGCTTCCATGAAATCACGTGTACATCGACCATCACACCAAAGGTTCCTCATGCTTTCATGAAATAATGTCTTACATGGAACTCCATCATGCCAAAGGTCCCTCATGCTTCCATGAAATCATGTGTACATCGACCATCACACCAAAGGTTCCTCATGCTTCCATGAAATCATGTTGTACATGGACCTCCACCACACCAGAAAATACTGGAAGGGCATTGACCTTGAGTTTTGGAGTTGTAGTTCACCTACGTCCAGAGGCATTGTGGACTCAAACCATGATCGATCTGCACCAACCTTGGCACAAATACTCAATATACCCAAATGGGAACACTGGTGGAGTTTGGGGAACATACACCTTGACATTTGGGAGTTGTAGTTGCATTTGAACCCCACCATGACAGAATTGGGCCAAACTTCCCACACAGAACCCCATGCCCTGAAGGGACTCTTGGCGTGACCCTCCCTCATATCGCATGCTCTCCCTCACCCGCACATGCGCAACACGCTGCCATGCACTGAGCACGCCTGCTCTCCCCTCCCCGCTTGGAGTCTCAGAAACAGCCCTCCCATTGGCTGATGAGAGGCCAGTTGAGAGGCCAGCCAATCACAGCAGGAGGATTGCTTTTGGTGGGAGGATTTGCCGTTGGTTTCCAAAAAGAAGAGAAAGCCAGGCAGAGAGATCTTCAGCCTTCTCTGCCAAAGGGTCCATCAGAAATATCTGTGTTCTGGTGGTCTTTGGCGACCCCCCTGAAACCCCCTTGCCGCCACCCCGCTGGGGTCCTGACCACTAGATTGGCTTAGGAACTTGGCATGGAACTTGGCTCTTCTCCGGCATTTATTTATTTTCCCTCTTTGTTTTCCTACCAGTTTCATACCGTTTATCTTCGGGAAATGTCCAGTTAGCTGCAAAACTCCCCACTTAGAAATAAATTGCCGTGCTCAAGTAAATACGAACGCAAGAAAACACTTGTTCCCTTAAAAGGGGAGAAAAGTCCACCTCTGCCATTGGGGTGCACCTTTATTCGTTTTTGCTCGCAGCCCCCCCTCCCCCCCCTCAAAAGCTCCTAAGCCTCTATCGATGTTTCCTCCTCTCATGTCAGCAACGTTTTGGACCAAAGGACTGGGGTTGCCGGGCACTGCCACGCCATGGTTTCCAAGTATCTTGGGAAAGGCTCAAGAATCGTCAATGGGAGATTTTTGAGCAGAGGTCAACACTACAGGGATCTTAAGGCCAAAGGCTTGACCTAAACTGTGTTGTGGGGCCACCCGAAAGATGGAGGCTCTTCCCATCGGACAAAGCCATCCTTAAGACACCCATCTGTGTGCCGATGTCCAGCTGGAATCAAAACCCCAGGCGATTAACACACAATAATAATAATAATAATAATAATAATAATAATGGGCCCAGTCTGGCCAAAGGGATCCTTTCTCTGGACGCTTGGACCCTCCGCAGGGTTTCCATGCTCAGGGACCGGCGTTCAGAGGCCGCAGCGTCAAGTAGATCGGCTTATCTGGGACCAGGATGAGGTCAAATTTGGTCCCCACGTCCACGCCCCTCTTCGTTTCAACCTTGAAGTTGTCCAGCATCTGGGAAGAGAAAGAGAACGATGGATTTATTGTCCAAAGAAGGGTTTTGCCTCCTTATATATTTGTTTGACGCAGCACCAATGGGCCATTGTTAGTGACGCCAACAACCCAACCGCTAGTTTGTGAAGTGTCATGACTGTTGGAGCATGCAAGGCATCAACTGATTTATGTGTGTCAACTGTAAAATAAGATGCATGAAGCTTCTTGGCAGGATGGGGTTGGACTGGAGGATGGCCCAGGAGGTCTCTTCCAACTCTTGGATTCTATGATTCTGTGATCCTGGAACTTTTGGTTCCTATTGCATTCTTGTTCAGGCTTCAACAATGCAGGTGCTTAGAGAGAGACAAAGAGAGAAGTAGAGAGAGGCAGAGTTTGGAGTGTGCTCTCACTTCATGATGGTTTTTAATGGTGTATTTTAATATTTTGATAAATCATAGAATCATAGACTCATAGAATCCTAGAGTGGGAAGAGACCTCCTGGGCCATCATCCAGTCCAGCCCCATTCTGCCAAGAAGCAGGAACATTGCATTCAAAGCACCCCTGACAGATGGCCATCCAGCCTCTGTTTCAAAGCTTACAAAGAAGGAGCCTCCACCACACTCCGGGGCAGAGAGTTCCACTGCTGAACGGCTCTCACAGTCAGGAAGTTCTTCCTCATGTTCAGGTGGAATCTCCTCTCGTCTAGTTTGGAGCCATTCTTCCCTTGCGTCCTCGTCTCCAAGGAAGCAGAAAACAAGCTTGCTCCCTCCTCCCCCCTGTGGCTTCCTCTCACATATTTACACATGGCTCTCATCATATCTCCTCTCAGCCTTCTCTTCTTCAGGCTAAACATGCCCAGCTCCTTAAGCCGCTCCTCATAGGGCTTGTTCTCCAGACCCTTGATCTGCTCCTCCTCCCTATGACTTCCTCTCACATATTTATACATGGCTCTCATCATGTCTCCTCTCAGCCTTCTCTTCTTCAGGTTAAACATGCCCAGCTCTTTAAGCCGCTCCTCATAGGGCTTGTTCTCCAGACCCTTGATCTGCTCTCTCCTCCCTATGACTTCCTCTCACGTATTTATACATGGCTATCATGTATCCTCTCAGCCTTCTCTTCTTCAGGCTAAATATGCCCAGCTCTTTAAGCCACTCCTCATAGGGTTTGTTCTCCAGACCCTTAATCATTTTAGTTGCCCTCCTCCCTGTGGCTTCTTCTCACATATTTATACATGGCTCTCATCATATCTCCTCTCAGCCTTCTCTTCTTCAGGCTAAACATGCCCAGCTCCTTAAGCCGCTCCTCATAGGGCTTGTTCTCCAGACCCTTGATCTGCTCCCTCCTCCCTATGGCTTCTCTCACATATTTATACATGGCTCTCATCATATCTCCTCTCAGCCTTCTCTTCTTCAGGCTAAACATGCCCAGCTCCTTAAGCCGCTCCTCATAGGGCTTGTTCTCCAGACCCTTGATCGGCTCCCTCCTCCCTGTGGCTTCCTCTCACATATTTATACATGGCTCTCATCATGTCTCCTCTCATCTTTCTCTTCTTCAGGCTAAACATGCCCAGCTCCTTAAGCCGCTCCTCATAGGGCTTGTTCTCCAGACCCTTGATCTGCTCCCTCCTCCCTGTGGCTTCCTCTCACATATTTATACATGGCTCTATCATATCTCCTCTCAGCCTTCTCTTCTTCAGGCTAAACATGCCCAGCTCCTTAAGCCGCTCCTCATAGGGCTTGTTCTCCAGACCCTTGATCTGCTCCCTCCTCCCTGTGCCTTCCTCTCACATATTTATACATGGCTATCTTATCTCCTCTCAGCCTTCTCTTCAGGCTAAACATGCCCAGCTCCTTAAGCCGCTCCTCATAGGGCTTGTTCTCCAGACCCTTGATCTGCTCCCTCCTCCCTGTGGCTTCCTCTCACATATTTATACATGGCTATCATATCTCCTCTCAGCCTTCTCTTCTTCAGGCTAAACATGCCCAGCTCCTTAAGCCGCTCCTCATAGGGCTTGTTCTCCAGACCCTTGATCTTGGTCCACTTCTGATATGATAAATAAATTTATACATGGCTCTCATCATATCTCCTCTCAGCCTTCTCTTCTTCAGGCTAAACATGCCCAGCTCCTTAAGCCGCTCCTCATAGGGCTTGTTCTCCAGACCCTTGATCTGCTCCCTCCTCCCTATGGCTTCTCTCACATATTTATACATGGCTCTCATCATATCTCCTCTCAGCCTTCTCTTCTTCAGGCTAAACATGCCCAGCTCCTTAAGCCGCTCCTCATAGGGCTTGTTCTCCAGACCCTTGATCTGCTCCTCCTCCCTGTGGCTTCCTCTCACATTTATACATGGCTATCATATCTCCTCTCAGCCTTCTCTTCTTCAGGCTAAACATGCCCAGCTCCTTAAGCCGCTCCTCATAGGGCTTGTTCTCCAGACCCTTGATCTGCTCCCTCCTCCCTATGGCTTCTCTCACATATTTATACATGGCTCTCATCATATCTCCTCTCAGCCTTCTCTTCTTCAGGCTAAACATGCCCAGCTCCTTAAGCCGCTCCTCATAGGGCTTGTTCTCCAGACCCTTTGCTCCCTCCTCCCTGTGACTTCCTCTCACATATTTATACATGGCTATCATATCCCCTCTCAGCCTTCTCTTCTTCAGGCTAAACATGCCCAAATCCTTAAGCCGCTCCTCATAGGGCTTGCTCTTCAGACCCTTGCTCCCTCCTCCCTATGGCTTCTCTCACATATTTATACATGGCTCTCATCATATCTCCTCTCAGCCTTCTCTTCTTCAGGCTAAACATGCCCAGCTCCTTAAGCCGCTCCTCATAGGGCTTGTTCTCCAGACCCTTGATCTGCTCCCTCCTCCCTATGGCTTCTCTCACATATTTATACATGGCTCTCATCATATCTCCTCTCAGCCTTCTCTTCTTCAGGCTAAACATGCCCAGCTCCTTAAGCCGCTCCTCATAGGGCTTGTTCTCCAGACCCTTGATCTGCTCCCTCCTCTCTGTGGCTTCCTCTCACATATTTATACATGGCTTGTCTCCTCTCAGCCTTCTATTGTTCAGGCTAAACATGCCCAGCTCTTTAAGCCACCTCTCATAGGGCTTGTTCTCCATCGTGCAGCTTCCAATAGCCAAGCAATAAAGTGATACATGACCATCATGCTTCCTCTCAGCCTTCTCTTCTTCAGGCTAAACATGCCCAGCTCTTTAAGCCACTCCTCATAGGGCTTGTTCTCCAGACCCTTGATCTGCTCTCTCCTCCCTATGACTTCCTCTCACATATTTATACATGGCTCTCATCATGTCTCCTCTCAGCCTTCTCTTCTTCAGGCTAAACATGCCCAGCTCCTTAAGCCGCTCCTCATAGGGCTTGTTCTCCAGACCCTTGATCTGCTCCCTCCTCCCTATGGCTTCTCTCACATATTTATACATGGCTCTCATCATATCTCCTCTCAGCCTTCTCTTCTTCAGGCTAAACATGCCCAGCTCCTTAAGCCGCTCCTCATAGGGCTTGTTCTCCAGACCCTTGATCTGCTCCCTCCTCCCTATGGCTTCTCTCACATATTTATACATGGCTCTCATCATGTCTCCTCTCAGCCTTCTCTTCTTCAGGCTAAACATGCCCAGCTCCTTAAGCCGCTCCTCATAGGGCTTGTTCTCCAGACCCTTGATCTGCTCCCTCCTCCCTATGGCTTCTCTCACATATTTATACATGGCTCTCATCATATCTCCTCTCAGCCTTCTCTTCTTCAGGCTAAACATGCCCAGCTCCTTAAGCCGCTCCTCATAGGGCTTGTTCTCCAGACCCTTGATCTGCTCCCTCCTCCCTGTGGCTTCCTCTCACATATTTATACATGGCTCTCATCATATCTCCTCTCAGCCTTCTCTTCTTCAGGCTACACATGCCCAGCTCCTTAAGCCGCTCCTCATAGGGCTTGTTCTCCAGACCCTTGATCTGCTCCCTCCTCCCTATGGCTTCTCTCACATATTTATACATGGCTCTCATCATATCTCCTCTCAGCCTTCTCTTCTTCAGGCTAAACATGCCCAGCTCCTTAAGCCGCTCCTCATAGGGCTTGTTCTCCAGACCCTTGATCTGCTCCCTCCTCCCTATGGCTTCTCTCACATATTTATACATGGCTCTCATCATGTCTCCTCTCAGCCTTCTCTTCTTCAGGCTAAACATGCCCAGCTCCTTAAGCCACTCCTCATAGGGCTTGTTCTCCAGACCCTTGATCTGCTCCCTCCTCCCTATGGCTTCTCTCACATATTTATACATGGCTCTCATCATGTCTCCTCTCAGCCTTCTCTTCTTCAGGCTAAACATGCCCAGCTCCTTAAGCCGCTCCTCATAGGGCTTGTTCTCCAGACCCTTGATCTGCTCCCTCCTCCCTGTGGCTTCCTCTCACATATTTATACATGGCTATCATGTCTCCTCTCAGCCTTCTCTTCTTCAGACTAAACATGCCCAGCTCTTTAAGCTGCTCCTCATAGGGCTTGTTCTCCAGACCCTTGATCTGCTCTCTCCTCCCTATGACTTCCTCTCACATATTTATACATGGCTCTCATCATGTCTCCTCTCAGCCTTCTCTTCTTCAGGCTAAACATGCCCAGCTCTTTAAGCCGCTCCTCATAGGGCTTGTTCTCCAGACCCTTGATCTGCTCTCTCCTCCCTATGACTTCCTCTCACATATTTATACATGGCTCTCATCATGTCTCCTCTCAGCCTTCTCTTCTTCAGGCTAAACATGCCCAGCTCTTTAAGCCACTCCTCATAGGGCTTGTCTCCAGACCCTTGATCTGCTCTCTCCTCCCTATGACTTCCTCTCACATATTTATACATGGCTCTCATCATGTCTCCTCTCAGCCTTCTCTTCAGGCTAAACATGCCCAGCTCCTTAAGCCGCTCCTCATAGGGCTTGTTCTCCAGACCCTTGATCATTTTAGTCGCCCTCCTCTGGACACATTCCAGCTTAGAGTCAATATCTCTCTTGAATTGTGGTGCCCAGAATTGGACACAATATTCCAGATGTGGTCTAACCAGAGCAGAATAGAGGGGTAGCATTACTTCCCTAGATCTAGACACTATGCTCCTATTGATGCAGATAAGAATTGGTGTCCCAGCATTGAATGTTTCCCGTGTATATGCTGTGCTCCACTCTGAGTCCTCCGAGTCGAGGTGAGAAGGGCGTCATGTAATTTTTTAAAATAAATAATAATCAATAATAAATAAATAATGAGCCGCTGAAGCAGTTTATCCACATGGACAAAGAAAGAGCATTTCAAGTCTCTCATAAAAGGCCATTATGTGAGTTGGTGCAAATGATCACTTTGTACATATGTTGTTCTGAACTACAAAGAGTAAAGGACTTGTTCCCCTGTATGGCATATTTTATTTCTCTGGCAAGGCAGCGTGTGGGCCGATCCAATGTGAACTATACGTGGTTTGTTTTACATTCAGCCACAATAAATAACAAGAGTCAGACTCACATGGATCAGGAACAGTTGCATCTCCACCTCCGCAATCCGGCGCCCCAGGCACTGGCGCGGCCCAAACCCAAAGCTGAGTCCTCGGAAGTGTTTGGAGTCGTGGTTCAGCCACCTCGTCGGGTTGAACTGCTTGGGTTGGGTGAAAAACCGGGGGTCCTGGCCCATGGCGTGAATGCCCACCTGGACTAATGTCTGCAAAGAGAAGGTGGAAGAGGGCATCCCTCAGTCACGTTTCCTCCTCCCACATCTCCAAGCTCTGATCCTTTCTGCTTTTTCCATTCACATTGAACTGAGTCCAGATCAAGTTTCTGAACTTGGCTTCCAGAATCTCTTTTTTTATTGTGTCGGAAGTGACTTGAGAAACTGCAAGTCACTTTTGGTGTGAGAGAATTGGCCGTCTGCAAGGATGTTGCCCAGGGAACATTGCCTGGATGTTTTACCATCCTATGGGAGGCTTCTCTTACGTCCCCACATGGGAAGCTGGAGCTGTTCAGCCATCACAAGGGTTTAACCCATTGCACCACTGCAGCTCTTCCATCATCTCTTGATATGGCCCTTTTCCCAAACCAATTGGAAATGTGGGTTCTGTGTGGGCAGTTTGGCCCAATTCTATCATTGGTGGGGTTCAAATGCTCTTTGATTGTAGGTCAACTACAAATCCCAGCAACTACAACTCCTGAATGTCAGGGTCTATTTTCCCAAACTCCAGCAGTGTTCACATTTGGACATATTGAGTATTCGTGCCAAGTTTGATCCAGATCTATCACTGCTTGAGTCCACAGTGCTCTTTGGATGGAGGTGAACTACAACTCCCAAACTCAAGGTCAATGCCCACCAAACCCCTCCAGTATTTTCTGTTGGTCATGGAAGTTCTGTGTGCCAAGTTTGATTCAATTCCATCATTGGTGGAGTTCAGGATGCTCTCAGATTGTAGGTCAACTACAAATCATATCATGGTTGGGGGTCACCATGACATGAGGAACTGTATTAAGGGGTCACGGCATTAGGAAGGTGGAGAACCACTGGATAAAAGGATGAAAACGGGAACTCATAGCAAGTGAGCCATTGGAAAAAAAGGAAAGATTGCTTCCAAGTCGAGGCGAAGGACAAGAAATGGGTGTGGACTCTAAGCAGGAGCTGGACCCCCGAAACAGAGCCCAAGAGAAGAAGAGTCCATGATTGACAGAGCAAAGGAACCAGACTTTTGGCCTTTCCTTCGCAGCTGGGAACTTAATTTAGTTTGATTTCCTTATGGTTAGTTTGACTTGCAGGGTTCTCGAGAAGGAGGGCGAACAATGGAAGAAGAACCCCAATATGGGTTGTTGTGGGTTTTTTCCGGGCTATATGGCCATGGTCTAGAGGCATTCTCTCCTGACGTTTCGCCTGCATCTATGGCAAGCATCCTCAGAGGTAGTAAGGTCACAGTGATTCTGGCCATGAAAGCCTTCGACAACAGACCTCACTACCTCTGAGGATGCTTGCCACAGATGCAGGCGAAACGTCAGGAGAGAACGCCTCTAGAACATGGCCATATAGCCCGAAACAGCCTACAACAACCCAGTGATTCCGGCCATGAAAGCCTTCGGGAATACAACCCCAATATGGTTTCCTGGATTACTTCTACTCACCTTGGCTGGAATAAAGTAATTCTGAAGGATAAGCTCGTGGGTGATGTATCTTTGGATCGTCACTGCAACCGGGTGGAGTCTTGGGAGGAAAAAGAGAGATGTCACCAAAGGTTCAAAAAACTATGACTCCTCTTCAGAAAGCTCAAAGCACAAAATGACTGGGGGACTCTTCACCTTTTGCAAAGTGAGGTAAATTTAGAGAACAAGGGAACCAAAGTGTATCGTGCCGTGACTGTGAAATGGTGATGCTTGTCAGCATCCAGGCCTTAAAGAAGTCCCTTTTTGGGCCATCAGCTCCCAGAATCCCTTAAGGAGTGTGCTGGTCAGAGGATGCTAGATCTCTGGTAAAAAAAAAAACACAGTTTCCTCAAGCTTGGAGAAATACAAGGTCTTTTTAGACCTCTGGGCATCCCACTGTTCTCCACCAACTTCCAGTGGACATTGACCATAGCATTGCACTGGAGAAACTAGAGATTCCTAGAGAGCTGTTCTCCCAATTCTAGGTCTTCCAGCCTCCGAAGGGCATTCATGAAAGACTTCCCCTGACCCGCTTCCTGTGGACTGAGAGAAATGACACTTGGCCCAGTCCTGAGTCCTCCTCTCCATCTAGGGACACGTCTTTCTCCCATCTTCTTCAGCAACTGTCAACACCTCACTTGTAGAACTTGAAAAGTTGCTCCAAAAGCCACGTTGTGACTTTGGAAACCAGAGTCTCATCGTCTGAGAAATCCTTGCCCTTCAAAAACAGCTTCCTTGTTGGAAAGAGGTGGAAGTCTGATGGTGCGAGGTCGGGTGAATAAGGGGGATGCGGAGAATTTGAAAGCCACCAGAGCATGCTTCTTCCATTTGGGCAACAGGTGAGTTGGGAACTGGGTCATAGAATCATAGAATCAAAGAGTTGGAGGAGGCCTCCTAGGTCATCATCCAGTCCAACCCCATTGTGCCAAGAAGCAGGAATATTGCATTCAAATCACCCCTGACAGATGGCCATCCAGCCTCTGTTTAAAAGCTTCCAAAGAAGGAGCCTCCACCACACTCGGGGCAGAGAGTTCCACTGCTGAACGGCTCTCACAGTCAGGAAGTTCTTCCTCATGTTCAGGTGGAATCTCCTCTCTTGTAGTTTGAAGCCATTGTTCCATTGCGTCCTAGTCTCCTGGGAAGCAGAAAACAAGCTTGCTCCCTCCTCCCTGTGGCTTCCTCTCACATATTTATACATGGCTATCATATCTCCTCTCAGCCTTCTCTTCTTCAGGCTAAACATGCCCAGCTCCTTAAGCCGCTCCTCATAGGGCTTGTTCTCCAGACCCTTGATCATTTTAGTCGCCCTCCTCTGGACACATTCCAGCTTGTCAATAAAACCTGAGCTCGTTTTGTGCTTTAGCCTTGCGGACCTTTTCCCTACAGGTGTTGGCTATTTGTTTGAATTCTTCTTTGGTGATTTCTCCATTTTTCCACTTCTTGTGCATGTCTCTTCTGTGTTTTAGCACAGAAGTTCTTTGGACATCCATTCTGGCTTCTTTTCACTTGTCCTATTTTTTCCCTTTGCTGGCACAGTTTGCAATTGCGCCTTGAGTATTTCACTCTTGAGAAATTCCACCTGTAACTCCCTTGTGTTTTAGTATCTGTGTCCACGGAATGCTGCTCAGCGTTTCCTTCATTTTTTGGAAATCAGCTCTCCTAAAGTCCAAAATGTGGGTTTGACTTGTCTTAGTTTCGGCCTTCCTTTGTACCTCAAATTGCAGGGTGATGGTCTTGCAGAAGGCAAAGGAACACCTTTGGGGAGCATGCCACATTGTCTCTTGGTTTGGATGGCCTCCCACAATTTCCGCAGCAGTGAAGTATAGTCTTCCCCAGGGATCATGGTCCCCTTTGCTAGGAAATCCATCCAAACTACTCCATGCTGGTCCCAAAATACTGTGAGCATGATCTTGGCTGCCCAGAGTTGGGCACGTGCCTTCTTTGGAGGCGCCGAATGGACTTTGCATTGCATTGACTGGACTTGAGTCTCAGGGTCAGAGGGATGGACCCAGCTTTCCTCCTGTGTGATTGGTCTGTTGGAAAAGTCCTCCTGGTTTCCATGGCACATCGTTGTCAAGAGAGCCTGAGAGCATTCAACTCCTTCCTGCTTCTGGAAAGATGTGAGCAGTCAGGGGACCCAGTGAGTAGATACCTTATGCAGGCGAAGATGGGCTTGGATGATTTCTTCCATGGACCCTACACTCATCTTGACATTTTGGGCTCGGTGGTGAATGGTTATGCAGCTGCCCCTCCGTCCCACCTCGCAATTTAAGATTATCTGGGGAGGCCCTGCTCTCGCTCTCATCAACAGCGCAAATGCGGTTGGCGGGGACAAGGAGCAGGGCCTTCTCGGCTGTGGCCCCCCCACCGCCTATGGAACCCACTCCCAAAGGAGGCAAGATCTGTTCCCTCGCTCCTGACCTTTCGAACAAAATTTAAATCATGGTTCTGGGACCAGGCCTTTGGACAATAGATGTGCGCAGCTTTTAGTGGGACAAGGACTGGAACGGCGACTCGACTGATGAGATTGTTTTATGGTTTTAATAACTTTTGATAATTGGTGATGTACTGTTTTTAAATATGATTTCTGTTTAAAGTGTGGTTTTACTATTGTAGTTGTGAGGCATTGAATTTTTGCCATTGTCTATGTGTAAACCGCTTTGAGTCCCCCTCGGGGTGAGAAAAGCGGTATATAAATACTGTAAATAAATAAATAAATATTTTCCAAAATGGCGACCACCACTTGCTGGATGGTGTGTCCATCAATAGCAGAGTGGGGTCACCTTGGAATTGGAGCTGTTTCCTCCAAAGTCCAACCACATCGGAATGGACAATCGATTCTTGACTCCATTCCCATAAACTCCTTCCATCTCATTGAGCGTCTCCTTGGGTGAGCGGCCTTTCAAGTCAAGGAACTTGAGGACCGCTCTGGGTTCCACTGGGTCCATTCTCAAACCTCACTCCCCTTCAGCACCTCTCACATCAAAACCGTTCTCAGTTCTGAGTTGTCAATTGGCACGTAACCTATAGAGCAGTGTTTCACAACCTGGGGGTCGGGACCCCTGGAGGGGTCGCGAGGGGTGTCAGAGGGGTCGCCAAAGACCATCAGGAAACATAGTATTTTCTGTTGATCATGGAGGTTCTGTGTGGGATGTTTGTCCCAATTCAATTGTTTGAGTCCACGGTGCTCTCTGGACGTAGATGAACTAGATTGTAGGTGAACTATAAATCCCAATATCTACAGCTCCCAAATGTCAAGATCTGCTTTGCCCAAACTCCACCAGTGCTCACATTTGAGCATATGGAGTATTGTGTCAAGTTTGATCCAGATCCATCATTGTTTGAGTCCACAGTGCTCTCGGGACGTAGGTGAACTACAACTCCCAAATTCAAGGTCAATGCCCACCAAACCCTTCCAGTATTTTCTGTTGGTCTTGGGAGTCCTGTGTGCCAAGTTTGGTTCATTTCCATCATTGGTGGAGTTCAGAATGCTCTTTGATTGTAGGTGAACTATAAATCCCAGCAACTACAACTCCCACAGGACAAAATCACCCCACCCCCCCAATCCCACCAATATTCAAATGTGGGTGTATTGGGTATACGTGCCAAATGTGGTCCAGTGAATGAAAATGCATCCTGCAGATCAGGAATTTACATTACGATTCATACCAGCAGCAAAATGACAGTTATGAAGTAGCAACGAAAGTAATTTTATGGTTGGGGGTCACCATAACATGAGGAAGCATATTAAGGGGTCGTGGCATTAGGAGGGTTGAGAACCACTGCTATAGAGACTGAGATCATTCCACGTGTGCAGTTTCAGCATCCTGTGATGTATAGAAGTGGGCCAGGGAAAAGCTGGCTGTAGACACTAGAGAAGCTACAGATTCTTTGAGCATTTTAAGCAATCCACGAATGGTGGAAGTTGCAAATGTGGAGGGTCTCCTGTGGCATCAATGAATCACACACTCCTGGGAAGGGGATCCCCCTACCTTAGCACTTCTTTGACCGTCGCTTTGACCAAGGGGACCGATTTCAATAACTTCAGGAGATCTCCTTGGGAAGAGGCTTTGGCCGCAGAGATCTCGGACCGCAGCTGCTCCTGGATGGACGGCGCCCGGGCCAGTTCATGGAGGGCCCACTGGAGACTCATGGAGGTCTAAGGGCACACCAGAAGCAACCATCACGTTTGGGGCAGAAGTACCTTGGGACGACCACAAGTGACACGTGGCCATGGCAGGCTTCCCTTTCCCAATCGCTTCCCCATGCCTTACGGTGTCCACTCCTCCGGCCATCATCTCCGTCACGCTGGCTTTGATGTCTTCCACGGCCAGCTTGTCCTGCATTAAAAGGCTGGCCAAAATGCCCGGGTATTCGCTGCTGTCTTTCCGTTTCAGACGGAGGTCTCGGTAGATGTTCTGAATGCATTTGTCAGCTGGCGAGACAGAGGGAAAGAAGGGGGAAAGCCTTGAGGAAGGCACCTCAGTCCAGTGGGATGGAAGCAAAGGTACTCATCCTCCCTCATCAGGTGAATGACAAGCACTGATTATTGGAATGGTGTCCCATTGGAATGGTGTCGCACCCTTTCCCAATCCCGCACCCCAACTTACATACAAGCAACTGCTGGGCTTGACATGGCTCTGCTTGCCCATCTACCTCACGACTAATCCAAACTGCTTCAAACACCCTTTGGTCCTCTGGGTGTTTTGGACTTCAGTTCAAAACACAGAATTCATTACCGTTGGACAACCTGGCTAGGCTGCCGGGAAGGAGCAGCCCATAGTGAAAGGACCAGGCAGAGACATCTCCAGCTCATCCCCTGTTTGGGTATCAGCCAGCACGTCAACGACTTAAATCAAGAATAGTTTTCTTAGATCTACAGAGACACTCGCTGGAACACCTCAGCAAGCGAGAGTCCAAAAGTGGCAGGCCCAAACCCAGCACCTCAATCCATGGGTGATACCAGATGAGAGACTCCCCCCTGGGCACACAGAGGACTGGGCGACTTGGAAGGCGCTGAACAGACTGCGCTCTGGCACCACGAGATGCAGAGCCAACCTCAAGAAATGGGGCCACAAAGTGGAATAATCCACGACATGCGAGTGCGGAGAAGAGCCAACCACTGACCACCTGCTGCAATGCACCCTGAGCCCTTCTTCCACATGATGCACAAGGGAGGACCTTCTTGCGGCAACACCAGAGGCACTCCAAGGGGCCAGAGACTGGTCAAAGGACATTTAATCAATACCAAACTCGCAAATTTTGTGTTTTGTCTGTTTGTTTGTTTTGTTCTATTAGAAATGTAATACAATTGACTGGTTGCCCTGACACGACACATAAATAACCTGGCTGGGTCTTCTGGGAATTGGAGCCCCAAACACCCAAAGGACCGAAGGTTGGAGACCACCATCCTGTGTCCTTGCTCTTGCCGGTGCCGGGTGAGAAAGGAATGACCTTGGGTGACCCTTGAGGACGGACCAGAAAGGAGCCCAGCGCTCACCGTGTGTGAAGATGGTGTCCCAGGCCTCCACGTGACCCTTCCAAGCGCTGGAGTTGATCCAGCGCAGAAAGGCGGGCGGGATGTACAGCATCGGAGAGGTCGTGTGGAACATCCGGGTGATGGCGTCGATGAAACGCTGGCTCTCCGGGTCAATGAAATCCTGGAGGAGCCCCAGGCGCGTGCCATAGAGGACACTGCACACCGCTGTGGGACAGGACACGAGTGGGATAGGACAGCCCAGAGTGGTCTATTCCCTCCCGCCCGCCCCATTCTGGACACTTGCAGAACATTTGTTGTTGTTGTATGCCCTCACTGATGGCAATCCTTGGCAAGATTTGTTCAGAGCGGGGCTTGAAGGAGAGTGATTTGGCCAAGGCCATGCAGTGGATTTCGGTGCCTGGGTATCAGGATGTGAACCCCGATATCCAGCACTCAAGCCGTTACGCCACCCTAACTCTTGATGCTGCTGCTAGTTTGATACTGAGCTAGTTTGGTGTAGTACTTTGAATGTTGGACTACCACTCTGGGTCAAGTCATTGGGTCAACAGTTGTTCCAATGTGTCTTATATAATAACTAGCGGTCCCCTGCCAGGCGTTGCTGTGGCCCAGTCTGGTGATCAGGAAAATAAAGTAATGAGAAAGTGTTGGGTTCTAATATATGTCATGTCTTTCTGCTTGTGGGTAAACAGTATTTCTTGCTGTTTCTTTGTCAGTGTTGATGTGGAGAGTGTCTGGTTTGACCACTCTGGAACATGCAAGATATCATTGTCCTTCTTTAGGGGTCCCTTTCAAATCTTTGATAGTGCATCTGTCATATACATATGTGTGTGTGTGTGTGTGTGTGTGTGTGTGAATGGCTGGATGGCCCTTTGTCAGGAGGGCTTTGATTATGTTTTCTTGCCCTGGTGATTAAGGCAGCATTTCTCAACCTGGGAAGTCAAGACCCCGGGGGGGGGGGGGGGTCATCAGGGTGGTGTCACAAGGGTCACCAAAGACCACCAGAAAACACAGTATTTTCTGTTGGTCATGGGGGTTCTTGTGGGAAGTTTGCCCCAATTCTTTCATTGATGGGATTCAGAATGCTCCCTGATTGTAGGTGAACTATAAATCCCAGTAACTACAACTCCCAAATGTCAAGGTCTATTTCCCCCAAACTCCATCTTTGTTTATATTTGGGCATATTGAGTATTTGTGCCAAGTTTGATGCAGATCCATCATTGTTTGAGTTGACAATGCTCTCTACAGGTAGGTGAACTACAACTCCCAAACTCAAGGTAAATACCCACCAAATCCTTCTAGTGTTTTCTGTTGGTCAAGGGAGTCCTGTGTGCCAAGTTTGGTTCAATTCCATCATTGGTGGAGTTCAGAATTCTCTTTGATTGTAGCTGAACTATAAATCCCAGCAACTACAACTCCCAAATGACAAAATCAGAATGTTTTGAGTGATGGTCACTCCTTGTGTTGTGAGATGTTTTGTTGCCAAATTTGGTGTGATTTTATTCATTGGTTCTTTTGTTTTTAAGATACTGGAGCATATATATATATATATATATATAATATCAACAATAGGTAAAGGTTTCCCCTGTCATTGAGTCTAGTCATGTCCAACTTGGAGGGAGTGGGAGCTCATCTCCATTTCTAAGCTGAAGAGCCGGCATTGTCCATAGACACCTCCAAGGTCATGTGGCCAGCATGGCTGCATGGAGTACCGTTACCTTCCCACCAGAGCGGTACCTATTGATCTACTCACATTTGCATGTTTTCAAACTGCTAGGTTGGCAGAAGCTGGGGCTAACAGCAGGAGCTCATTCAGCTCCTCAGATTTGAACCACCAACCTTTTGATCAGCAAGTTCGGCAACTCAGCGGTTTAACCCGCTCCACGACCAGGGCCCCCCAATATTTTAAAATACACAGAAAAGGACAGTAAACACAAGTTTACTGACATGAATTTCAAGTTCATAGTTAGGAATACCAAGAGGATCAAGCTGTCTATCTGAAGTCATTCTTTGACCCAAGTGACAGTCAAGAACCGGCCTGGACGATAGGCAGCTTGAACGCCTGTCCTGTCACGGAACCCATTCGGTGCCTTTGGGCAAACCGTACTCTCTGCCTCAGAGGAAGGCCAAGAAAAATCTCCCTGAACAAATCTTGCCAACTGACAGGTTCATTTTTGGATCATCCTAATTTGAGAAGTGACTTGGAGGCGTACGACCGAGACTGACAGTTCACGACACTCCGATTCTGGGAAGTCCGTCTTCTGCACTACGGCTCTCAGATTGCGCCATCCAGCGTGGGAAGAGGATTTCAGGAATCACAGCCCCCTAACGCGCCCCATTTCCCACTCCTGTCCAATCCCGATGGCGCTCTCCGCATACTCACACTCGAGGGCAAAACGGAAGAGCTCGTTGCTCAGGTCGGCCGTCCACTTGCCCTGTGGGCTCCGCCCGATCTGGACGTGAACCCTCTTGACGAAATCTTCTCCCACCGCATTCAGTGGACGCACAAAGTTCTCAATCGCTTTGAGAGACAGGGCTTCCTTGTTTAGAACCAGGCGGTCATGGCGCCAGTCTTCTCCATCCCTAGTCGGGGGGGGGGGGGGGGGGGGGGGGGGGGGGGGGGGGGGGGGGGGAGGGAGAGGTCAGCGCTAAGACAATTCTCACACTGTGATAAAGAAAAAGCTAATTTATCTTGATCAAACACCTCTCCAGGAATTTCTAGGTCTTCCAGCAAAATCCTATGGCCAATGTCTGCCATGGAATCATTTTGGAGGACCTATATAGAGACTTCTAGAAAGGTCTTCTCTCTAGAAATCTTTAGGTCCTCCAGCATAACCCTATGGCCAACATCTGCCATGGAACCACTTTGGAGGACCTAGAGACTTCTAGAAAGGTCTTCTCTCCAGAAATCTCTAGGTCCTCCAACTTAACCCTATGGCCAACATCTGCCATGGAGGAACTAGAGACTTCTAGAAAGAGACTTTTAGAAAGGTATTATAGGAAGAAAATGAACTTCTTGCAAGTGTGGTAGTGGAGGAAAGTTCTACAGATATTTAAAAACACAAATGAATGGGTCCAAGAGCAAATGGGCTCTCCCTAGAAGCCAAGATGACCAATGGAGGCGGGCGTACTTTGGCCGTATCGTGAGACAGGACCCACCAAGACTCCCTCGTGGCCAATCTCCCTATCTTAGCGTGAAGGGCCTTACTTGAGAAGCACTCCGTAGGGCTTGTTGCGGAAGTCACGGTAGGCCTTCCAAGCGGGCACCATGAACCTCCTGGGGTAGAGTCCTTCCGCCTTAAAGACAATGGCGGCGTCTTCTGGGTCGATGATGTTGACGCTCTCGTAGTTGCCCAGTTTCTCCCTGGCAAGGAAGTAAAGTCAGAGAGAGAGAGAGAGAGGTCTTCCTCATGCCCCTTCCTCCGGCCACACTTCCCTTCTTTGGAGGCAAGTTACTAGATGCCAGTAGATAAATAAGAACATATGAAGCTTATATCTTAGACTGAATCCTATATAGGTCCATATAGCCCACTATTATCAGCTCAGACTGGCAGCGGCTCTTCAGTTCCCTCAGCAGTTTCTTTAACAATCTAGAATGCATCTACACTGTAGAATTAATGCACTTTAACTCCCATGAATCAGTGCTATGGAATCTTTAGCCTTCTCAGCCAAAGGGTGCTGGTGCTGATCAACTCCTATGATCCACAACACTGATCCATAGCAGCTGAAATGGTGTGAATCCACATTAATTCTATAGTGTAGATCAGTGTTTTTCAACCTGGGGGTTGGGACCCCAGAGGGGGTCAGAGGGGTCACCAAAGACCACCAGGAAACACAGTATATTTTGTTGGTCTTGGGGGTCTGTGTGGGAAGTTTGGCCCAATTCTATCATTGGAGGGGTGCAGAATGCTATCTGATTGTGGGTGAACTATAAATCCCAGCAACTACAACTCCCAAATGTCACGGTCTATTTTCCCCAAACTCCACCAGTGATCACATTTGGGCATATTGAGTATCCGTGCCAAGTTTGGTCCTGATCCATCATTGTTTGAGTGCACAGTGCTCTCTGGATGTAAGTGAACTACAACTCCCAAACTCAAGGTCAACGCCCACCCACCAAACCCTTCCAGTATTTTTGTTAGTAATGGAAGTTAGCCGCCCTGAGTCCCTTGGGGAGATGGTGGCGGGTTATAAATAAATTATTATTATTATTATTATTATTATTATTATTATAAGTTATGTGTGCCAGGCTTGGTTCAGTTCCCTCATTGATAGAGTTCAGAATGCCCTTTGATTGTGGGTGAACTAGAAATCTCAGCAAGCACAACTCTCAAATGACAAAATCAACCCCTCCCAAACCCCACCAGTATTCAAATTTGGGCATATTGGGTATTTGTGCTAAATTTGGTCCAGTGAATGAAAATACATCCTGCAAATCGGATATTTCCATAACAGTAGCAAAATGACAGTGATGAAGTAGCACCAAAAATAACGTCATGGTTGGGGGTCACCACAACACGAGGAACTGGATTAACAAGAATGCAATATTCCTGCTTCTTGGCAGAAAGGGGTTGGACTGGATGATTGCCCATGAGGGCTCTTCCAACTCTAGGATTCTAAGGGTCGCGGCATTCATTAGGAAGGTTGAGGAACACTGGTGTAGATGTCTCGTCACAAGACTATCCGCCCTACAGAAGGATTGGCTCTCCAACGACGAACCAGCCTATGTCCCTGGGCATCTTGAGAAAGAAGGTCCAAATGGAAAAAAAGAACATTATCTTAGTAGATATGTCTAGACATCACGATCACGTGGCTCTGAGATATGATGTTGACATCTGTAGCAAGAGATTCTCCAACTTTGCCCTGAAGTGATACTAAGGGACCTTGGACAAATTGCGCCCTCGGCCCCAGATAAAGGCCAAAGCAAAGTCCTCTGAGCAAATCATAGAATCCTAGAATCCTAGAGCACGAAGAGACCTCCTGGGCCATCATCCAGTCCAACCCCGTTCTGCCAAGAAGCAGGAATACTGCATTCAAATCACCCCTGACAGATGGCCACCCAGCCTCTGCTTCAAAGCTTCCAAAGAAGGAGCCTCCACCACACTCCAGAGCAGAGAGTTCCACTGTTGAACGGTTCTCACAGTCAGGAAGTTCTTCCTCATGTTCAGATGGAATCTCCTCTCTTGTAGTTTGAAGCCATTGTTCCCTTGCGTCTTAGTCTCCAGGGAAGCAGAAAGGAAGCTTGCTCCCTCCTCCTCCCTGTGGCTTCCTCTCACATATTGATACATCATGGCTCTCATCATATCTCCTCTCAGCCTTCTCTTCTTCAGGCTAAACATGCCCAGCTCCTTAAGCCGCTCCTCATAGGGCTTGTTCTCCAGACCCTTGATCATTTGAGTCGCCCTCTTTCTCTGGACACATTCCAGCTTGTCAATATCTCTCTTGAATTGTGGTGCCCAGAATTGGACACAATGTGATTCCAGGTAATGTGGTCTAACCAAAGCGGAATAAGCATGGGGAGCAGGACTTCCCTAGATCTAGACACTCGGCTCCTCTTGATGCAGGACAACATCCCATTGGCTTTTTTTGCTGCCACATCACATTGTTGTAGACAATCGGCCCATTTTAGGGTTGCCTTAACTTGGAGGCACACAGAAGCCACCAAGGGTTGGTCCACCCTTCAGATGTCCTCTTTTCCCCTCAGGATTCAGACCCCAGTTGCACACCTTCTCAAAAGCCCCTTCACTCAAAGCATTCCCATCTCTGAAGCAAGTAGGGGCCAACTTTGGCTCTCCGGGTGTTTTGGACATCTGGAGAGACAAAGTTCGCCCATGCCTGCTCTAAAGGTTTGCAAATTATGGTTAACATCCATTGAAACGTCTGCGCAAACATGTCATGCGCAGTTTTATTTAACAGATAACTTTGTGCGCATCTACACCATAGAATTAAGTCAGTCAGGCAGTTAGAAATAACTAACATAACATACCAGTATTTTTTTTTAAAAAAACTTTATAATCAGAAAAGTAAATAAAGAACAACACTCAAAAAGCAGGGGAATTCTGGACAAGAATCGATCAGGGCCAGTTAACACCTCCCAACAAAGAATCCCCCCAGGCAAGAAAGAACTCTTGGCTTTTGGAGGCAAGTGTGAATGTTGCCATTGATTAGCACTGAATAGCCTTGCAGCTTCAAAGCCTGGATGCTTCCTGCCTGGGGGAAAATCCTTTGTTGGGAGGTGTTAGCTGGCCCTGATTGTTTCCTGTCCAGAATTCCCCTACTTTTTATGAGTGCTCCTCTTTATTTATGATTTAAATCAGTAACCACTATTTGTTGTCTGTTTTTATATTGTTTATACTGTTTATATCGTTATTATTATATTGCTGTTAATTGTATATTTATGTTTTGATGTGGGCACCATGGGGTGCTGTTTCGTTAGCCGTCATGAGTCCCTCTGCGGAGGTTGAGAAAGGACGGGACATAAAAGCCCTAAATAAATAAATAATACTGTCCTGCTTTTCGATACTGGTATCAGCAAGCAGCCAGGCTTTGAAGCTGCAAGGCAATTCGATGCTAATCAAGCTGGCCAATTGCAACATTCACGCTGGCTTCAAACAGACAAGAGGTCTTCCTCCCACCTTGGACATTATTCCACATATATATAAACCCCAATTTTCCTAGTTTCCAACAAACCTCACAACCTCTGAGGATGCCTGCCATGGATGTGGGTGAAACGTCAGGAGAGAATGCTTCCGGAACGTGGACAGACAGCCCGGAAAACTCACAGCAAGCCCTGCAAAATCTTTGTTTGTGCATTTTGCTCGGGCAAACTTGGGCGCTCCAGGTGTTTTGGACTTCAACTCCCACAATTCCTAACAGCCGGTAGGCTGTTAGGAATTGTGGGAGTTGAAGTCCAAAACACCTGGAGCGCCCAAGTTTGCCCATTCCTGGTGTGACCACACAGTCAATGAAGTTTCAAAGGAAGCCCACTCCTCCTCCTCACCATCATCACCACCACCATCATCATCACCATCATCATCATCATCATCATCATCCTGCTTAAACACAACTCACCACAACCACAAGCGGTCCCAAAGAGCCCCTTACCGGTAAATGGGCCCAAAGGCCTGGAACTTGTCTATCATGATGTTGTGCACGTTGTGGAAGCCGCCTTCCTTCCAGAAGGGATACAGGTTGAACCAGCTGCGCTTCCAGTTGCCCGGCAATTCGTCAAACGCCCGGGCGGCCTTCCCTTCCAGAGGAGAAGGGTACAGCTCCCGGGAAAGGCTGTGGACCCTCCGCCCGCCAAGGTCCCGGGCATCTTCGGGCCAGAAGAAGGCCCTCCATGTTCGTGGGATGCCCGAGGCGGGCGAGCAGAGGCGCCTCCTGGCCAGCATGCCCAGAGCGGAGGGAGGGAAGGGCGCAGGGAAGAGCCCGGCTGCTCTCAAGGAGGCAAAGTGCGGAGGCCAAGCGTCCTTCAGAGTGAGGCCAGATCACAACGACGGCCCCGTCTCATATAGCAACTCCTCCCTCCCTCCCTCTCTCTCTCTTGCAATGATTTGCTCAGGAACGTTGGGTTTCTTATTTATCGTGTCAATAGCAACCATACCATTGTATTACAATTCTAACATAACAAAACAAACACACAGATTGAAAAGAAAAAGAAAATAAACACACAGATTTTGCAAACTTGGCATTCTATTAAATGTCCTTTGACCAGTCTCTGGCCCCTTGGGGTGCCTCTGGTGTTGCTGCAAGGAGGTCCTCCATCATGGATGTGGCAGGGCTCAGGGTGCATTGCAGCAGGTGGTCCGTGGTTTGCTCTTCCCCACACTCGCATGTCGAGGATTCCACTTTGTGGCCCCATTTCTTAAGGTTGGCTCTGCATCTCGTGGTGCCAGAGCGCAGTCTGTTCAGCGCCTTCCAAGTCGCCCAGTCTTCTGTGTGCCCAGGGGGGAGTCTCTCATCTGGTATCACCATGGATTGAGGTGCTGGGTTTGGGCCTGCCACTTTTGGACTCTCGCTTGCTGAGGTGTTCCAGCGAGTGTCTCTGTAGATCTAAGAAAACTATGTCTTGATTTAAGTCGTTGACGTGCTGGCTGATACCCAAACAGGGGATGAGCTGGAGATGTCTCTGCCTTGGTCCTTTCACTATTGGCTGCTACTTCCCGGCGGATGTCAGGTGGTGCAATACCGGCTAAGCAGTGTAATTTCTCCCGTGGTGTAGGGCGCAGACACCCCGTGATAATGCGGCATGTCTCATTAACAGCCACATCCACTGTTTTAGTGTGGTGAGATGTGTTCCACACTGGGCATGCATACTCAGCAGCAGAGTAGCATAGCGCAAGGGCAGATGTCTTCACTGTGTCTGGTTGTGATCCCCAGGTTGTGCCAGTCAGCTTTCGTATGATGTTGTTCCTAGCACCCACTTTTTGCTTGATGTTCAGGCAGTGCTTCTTGTAGGTCAGAGCACGGTCCAAAGTGACTCCTCCCAGGTATTTGGGTGCACTGCAATGCTCCCGTGGGATTCCTTCCCAGGTAATAATCCTCAGAGCTCGGGATGCTTGTCTGTTCTTAAGGTGAAAGGCACATGTCTGTGTTTTAGATGGATTAGGGATCAGCTGGTTTTCCCTGTAATAGGCAGTAAGAGCACCTAGAGCTTCGGAGAGCTTCTGTTCAACCATCTCAAAGCTCCCTGCTTGAGCGGTAATGGCACGATCATCAGCATAGATGAAACTCTCTGTCCCTTCTGGCAGTGGCTGGTCATTTGTGTAGATGTTGAACATGGATGGAGCAAGCACGCTCCCCTGAGGCAGGCCGTTCTTCTGTTTCTGCCATCTGCTTCTCTGGCCCTGGAACTCAACAAAAAAGCTCCTGTTTTGTAGCAGGTTTCCTATGAGGCGGGTGAGGTGGTCTTCCTTTGTGATATTATACATTGTTCGCAGGAGGAGGCGGTGGTTCACAGTCTCATAGGCTGCTGACAGGTCTATGAAGACAGCTCCTGTGATCTGCTGCCTTTCAAAGCCATCTTCTATGTGCTGAGTCAGGTTCAGCACTTGCGATGTGCAGCTTTTGCCTTTCCTGAAGCCAGCTTGCTGTGGGATTGGGTTCCTTAATCCCAACCCTCTAACCTCCCCATTTGGTCGAAAGAAATGCCCATATAGACACGAGAATAAGCCAACCCGAATATAAGCCGAGACACCCAGTTCTGGAGAGACTTATTCTGCATAGAATTATGGAAAAAATAGACCCATGTCTGATCCCACAGCAAGCTGGCTTCAGGAAAGGCAAAAGCTGCACATCGCAAGTGCTGAACCTGACTCAGCCCAAAGAAGATGGCTTTAAAAGGCAGCAGATCACAGGAGATGTAGGTCAACTATAACTCCCAAACTCAAGGTCAATGCCCACCAAACCCTTCTAGTGTTTTCCATTGGTCATGGGAGAACTGTGTGCCAAGTTTAGTTCAATTCCATTGTTGGTGGAGTTCAGACTGCTCTTTGATTATAGGTGAACTATAAATCCCACCAATTGCAACTCCCAAATGACAAAATCATAATGTTTTGAGTGATGGTCACTCCTTGTGTTGTGAGACGTTTTGTTGCCAAATTTGGTGTGATTTCGTTCAGTGGTTCTTTTGTTGTTAAGGTACTCATTATATCTGAGGATGCTTGTCATAGATGCAGGCGAAACATCAGGAGAGGATGCCTCTAGACCATGGCCATATAGCCCGAAAAAACCTACCACAACCTATATAGATAATACTAATTTATTGTTATTATTTCATTATTAATAATATTTATGTATTACCTCCCTGGCCCCATGGCTCAAGGCAGGAGACAACACGGTTAAAACAGTCGAATGCAACACCACTGAAATGCATCTCCCAAAATACATACAGCAACACACAACATACAACCAAGGCCTGTCTCCCTCCTCCTCAATGGCGGCAATGCCTTCTCAAGGCCAGTGGGCTTTGATGGTTGTCCGTCTCGCGCTGATACAAGCCAGGCCGCCGTGATAACGCTCTCCCAGAGATGAAAGGGGAATATTCCAACTATCGTATCACCTTACGCTCATCTCTCCGCCTTCTGTTGACAAAGGTGCCTTTTCTTCTTCTCGCTGAACTCCTCCGTGCCCCTCCTTGAGATCAAACGCCCACATATGTCACAAGAGCATAGAGTTGGGAGGGACCCCCAGGGCCACCCAGTCTCACCCCATTCTGCAGGACAACCCAATCCAAACGTTCCCGGCAGATGGACATTCCGACGCTATTGAAAAACCTCCAGAGAAGGAGACTCTGACATACTCCCAGGCACCCGCCAAGCCCAGCTTCTGAGGCAAAGTCATCGTCCGGCTGTAGTTCAGCGTTTCTCAACCTGGGGGTCAGGACCCCGCGGGGGGGGATCGCGAGGGGGTGTCAGGGAGGTCGCCAAAAACCATCAGAAAACACAGTATTTTCTGTTCGTCATGGGGGTTCTGTGAGGGAAATTTAGCTCCATTCTCTTGTTGGTGGGGTTCAACGATAGAATTGGGAGGGTTATTTTGATTTTTTAAATTTTTAAAATTATTTTGGGGAATTTTTTTATTATTTTGATTTTTTACATTGTTTTTTGGATTATTTTGGAGAATAATTTTTATTATTATTTTGATTTTTACATTATTGTTTGTGACTATTTAGGGGAATATTTTTATATGTAATATATAATTGTTGTGTATTATTATATTGTACTATAGCCCCCGGTGGGTGGCGCAGTGGGTTAAACCCCTGTGTGGGCAGGACTGAAGACCGACAGGTCACAGGTTCGAATCCAGGGAGAGGCGGGTGAGCTCCCTCTATCAGCTCCAGCTCCTCATGCAAAGGGGACATGAGAGAAGCCTCCCACAAGGATGATAAAAAACATCAAATCATCCGGGCAATGTCCCCTGGGCAACGTCCTTGCAGACGGCCAATTCTCTCACACCAGGAGTCACTCCCGACACAACAAAAAAAAATATTGTACTATATTATTATACCACAATACATATAATATACCACCTGTATGTTATCCTATTAATATTACATAATATATTGCATCTTATCAGAAGTAGTAGTATATTCAACATATTATATATTATATTACATAACCATATACACACTAGTATTATTATATTACAATGTTACTATTTCTATACACTATTAGGTAAAGGTAGTCCCCTGACATTAAGTCCAGTCATGTCCGATTCTGGGGTGTGGTGCTCATCTCCATTTCTAAGCCAAACAGCCGGTGTTGTCCATAGACACCTTCAGGGTCATGTGGCCACTGGCATGACTGCATGGAACGCCTTTACCTTCCCGCCAGAGCAGTATCTATTGATCTACTCACATTTGCATGTTTTTGAACTGCTAGGTTGGCAGAAGCTGGGGCTGACAGCGGAAGCTCACGCCACTCCCCGGAATCAAACCTGCGACCTTTCGATCAACAAGCTCAGCATCTCAGTGCTTTAACCCACTGCGCCACCGAGGGCTCCCTAATACACTCTTACATTGTACATATTGATGTTGCAGGAGACACAACATGTTAGTTTCTGAATTTTCTCCAAGCCATTTGTGTCTTTGCTCACTGAATTGCGATCTCTAACCACTGAACGCTCAAAGACTAATGTGAGTGTTTCCAAGCGAGAGGTGGGCACAGTGAGTGGTTTTACTACCCGGTGCAAGTCCCCAGCTGCTCTGCCTCTGGCTTTGTAGCGCGAGAGACTGAGTGTGAAGGGGTTCTGGAGGCGGTGGAGGGACCCTTCGAGGAGCGCGGCTACGGGTGCAACGAGGGGCCTGGATGAAGGACCCCGCCGCCAAGGACGACCGTATCTACGTCACCAACTACTACTATGGGAACAGCCTGGTGGAGTCCCGCAACCTGGAGAATATCAAGCAAGGTGAGGAGGGGGCGGGGCAAGTCGCAGGAGGAGGAGCTTCTCAGATGATGGGTTGGGCTTCTCCTTGGTCGTTGTAAACATCACAGTGACCAGCACGACTAATAATATAGTATAGTGTGTGTGTATATATGTTGTAAGCTGCTCTGAGTCCCCTTCGGGGTGAGACGGGCGGCACATAAATGTCATAAATAAATAGATAAATCTGGCCCTGTGGCCACCCATCCATCCATCCATTCCAAGCACCACTCTGCAGTGCTTCCCCCAAGAACACCAGTGATGAGAACAGAGGCAGGAACGCTGAAGCCCCCCAGGCGAGGGGCTGCCTTTCCTCTCAAGGAGGAAAGCCTCCTTCAGATGTTCTTCAGGACCGATGGATTTTGGTCCATACCACCACCACCACACAATCATTCACCTCATCTGGCCCTTTGGCCACCCATCCATTCCAAGCACCGCTTCCCACAAGAACACCA